AGTTGGCGTCGCTGGCGCTCATCTTGGTTTGTGCCCCCTGCAGCGCTGGGAAGAAGGTGGAGTGAAGAAGAGCCGGCTTCAGGTACCCGATACGAGGAGCTACGTCACGAGTCATGCGGAAGTATGGATCCTGAGGGACAAAGCGTCATAGAGCATCTCAAAGCGTCATAAAGAATTTCAGAGGGTCATAGAGCATCTCAGAGCGTCATAAAGAATTTCAGAGGGTCATAGAGCATCTCAGAGCGTCATAAAGAATTTCAGAGGGTCATAAAGAATTTCAGAGGGTCATAGAGCATCTCAGAGCGTCATAAATATTTCAGAGGGTCATAGAGCATCTCAGAGTGTCATAAAGAAGTTCAGAGGGTCATAGAGCATCTCAGAGCGTCATAAATATTTCAGAGGGTCATAGAGCATCTCAGAGCGTCATAAAGAAGTTCAGAGGGTCATAGAGCATCTCAGAGCGTCATAAAGAATTTCAGAGGGTCATAAAGAATTTCAGAGGGTCATAGAGCATCTCAGAGCGTCATAAATATTTCAGAGGGTCATAGAGCATCTCAGAGCGTCATAAAGAAGTTCAGAGGGTCATAGAGCATCTCAGAGCGTCATAAATATTTCAGAGGGTCATAGAGCATCTCAGAGCGTCATAAAGAAGTTCAGAGGGTCATAGAGCATCTCAGGGCATCATAGAGCATCTCAGGGTGTTATAAAGAATTTCAGAGGGTCATAGAGCATCTCAGAGCGTCATGAAGAATTTAAGAGGGTCATAGAGCATCTCAGAGTGTCAGAGCATCTCAGTTTTGTAAAGAATCTCAGTGTTATGGGGCATATCAGAGCGTCATAGAGAATCTCTGAGCGTCATAGAGAATCTGAGAGTATTATAGAGCATCTCAGAGTGTCATAAATCATCTCAGAGTTTATTAGAGCATTTCAGAGTGTCGTAAAGCATCTCAGAGTGTTATAGGGCATCTCACAGTGTCATAGAGCATTTTAGAGGGTCATAGAGCATCTCAGAGTGTCAAAGCATCTCAGTTTTGTTAAGAATCTCAAAGTGTTATAGGGCATATCAGAGCATCATAGAGAATCTCTGAGTGTCATAAAGAATCTTGGAGTGTTATAGAGCATGTCACAGTGTTGTAGAGCATCTCAGAGCATTATAAATCATCTCAGAGAGTTATTAGAGCATCTCAGAGCATCATAGAGAATCTTAGCATGTCAAAGAGGATCTCAGAGTGTCATAGAGCATCTCAGAGCACCATAAAGAATCTCAGAGTTTATTAGAGCATTTCAGAGTGTCGTAAAGCATCTCAGAGTGTTATAGGGCATCTCACAGTGTCATAGAGCATCTCCGAAGTATCAGAGTTTTATAGAGTATCTCAGAGTATTATGAAGATTATAGAGCGTCACGAGTGTCTCCACAGACATACATGCTGGTGAACAGGATGTGAGACTCACCTGATCGATAGCACACGGAATGAGGCACTGGACGTCCTTTCTGTCACCAAAGATCTGCGGAAACGAGTTACTGAAGGACGGAGCTGCCTGAATGGCTGGAAAGCTGATTTTCCCTGCACACACACACACACACACACACACACAGTCAAACACACACTGACCAACACCAACACTCAGCGATGAACAGAAAAGCTGATCTGCTCACCGATGCAGTCGCTGTCTGTGAAGCCGAAGATGCCTTTAACCTGGTTAAAAGTCACATGCTTCTGGACCTTCACCACGTTTCTGTAGAAGGCAGGACTCGCCCTGCACAACACACACACACACACACACAGCACTTACAACATATGCAGCATTCAGATATTTCAGCGCCCCCTTCTGTCTGCACTCCGTATAACAGCACTGTACCCCATATATTCCAGATCAGAGAAGATGAAGGTCTTGTTGACGTCGAACCCGCAGGCGATGATGTCTCTGGCGTTCTCCACAGTGAAGCGCCGACACTCCTCCAGCGTCAGGTCCTTCCACAGGTACTTCTCATCATCCGTCAGCTGGATGACCAGAGGAACGTCAAA